ATAAGAAAAATGTAAATTTTTAAAAATAAGTAATATAATGTTAAAAAAGATTTTAAAAACGAAAAAAAAATATACAAACTGGGGCGCTATGGCCCATAGAGAAAATGAAGCGCTGTAGACCCCAGCGCCTGTTTGAAATTATTTAAAATATTTTATAAAAATAAGAATTGATAAATTAATTAAAAAAAATTTCGGATAAAAAAGCGGAAAAAAGAACTAAAATAAGAAAAAATAACATTTAAAAAAAAATAATGTAATGTGGAAAAAAATAATAAAAACAAAAAAAAATATAAAAACGGGGCGCTGGGGCTTGTAGCGCCTTATAGGCGCAGTGGCTGATAGCGCCTCCTTTAAAGTAACCGCAGGCGCCACCAATGACAACGTGACACATGGCCCATCCTTTTCAAATTAACCGCAGGCGTGGCCAATAGGAAGGTGACACGTGTGTCAGTTTGGGTAAAAAAATTTAATTTTACACTTATAAAATGAAACAGATGGTCCCCTCCCCCACTTTCACTTTCACCTTCCTTCTTCTTCGGGTAAGTTTCTCTCCTCTTAATTTTTTCGTTTTCATAATTTTATTTTATTAAATATTTTATATTTATTTTTCTTATTAAACCCTAAATATTTAATTAATTTTTTCTGATTATAATTGATTTAAAAGTCGCTATAGGATATTTATAAGTGTTATAACTGTTATTTAAAATTATTTATTTTGATTTTTATTTAATTTAAAATTTTTATGTAATAATATATTTATGTTATTTCAGGTTGTTGGTGTTTTTTTTGGGATATTATATCATACGAGGTATTTATGATTTATTATGTTTTAAATTTTGTAATTTTCTGCAATTTATTTGGTTTTAAATATGTGTTTTTTAGAATTTTAGTTGTAAGTCAATTTTTTACTGTAATTGTGAATTATATATTAAATTGAATAAACTTATTTCTGTGTCAATAATATATATATATGAAAATTAATTATATTTAAATTGTTAATTGATTTGATTTATTGCAGTATAATTGAGATTAATTAAAATAAGAAATATATTTAAATTTTAAATTGATAAATTGATTTTTTATGTAATTTTTATTTATTTATATTTGAAATTGCTTTATTTTATTTCTGTTTAAGATAAATTTTTTTCGTAAATAATTGTATTTAAAATATAAATTGGTTTAATTTAATTTTGTGTAATTTATATTTATTTAAAAGAAAGTTAATTTTCAATTTGAAAATGATTTAATTTATTTCTGTGTGATTTATATTTATTTCATAATTAAATTTATTTAATTTAATTCTGTGTTATTTTCATTTAATTACAGTTTATTTTACATTTTAATTTTTTAATTTATTTCTGTGTTATTTTTTTTATTTAAAAAATATATTTATTTATATTTATATTTTAAATTGGTTTGAGAACATTTATGAAGATACGTTTTTTAAACTAAAACTAGATAATTAACAAATATTCAAATATACCTTATTTAATATCAACAAATATTTGAATGTCATTTTTTAATTTAACAATATATTTGAAGTTTTATTTTAATTCATTCCCTAAATATTTAAATATACCTTATTTAATATATAAATTATTTATTTGGATTCTGTGTTATTTAGGAGGAGTGCTTGTTCCCGATAGATCTTCAGCGTATGTGTCCTTACGATGGTTGCTGTTTTTGCGCGATTTTGATATTATTAGGACTTATGCATGGGGTGCAGCTGTGCTTGGATATTTGTATCGGAATTTATGCACCTCAATAGATGGATACATTGAAATTGGTTCAACCATTAGACTTTCAACAATAGCATTTGACTCCACGTCACTATCAGATACTTCACAATTATCGATTTCATCTTTATTTGATTCATCATTGCTTTCATATGACAATGAAATATGATAGTCTTCATCATCTTCGTCATCTTCGTCATCTTCATCTTCGTCTCTTGTCATCACCGGTGATCGTTCAATTGACAAATTTTCTAACGAAATTGTTGAAGATTCTAAGTTACCTATTTCAGCATGTAATTCCATTATTGCCATTACATTCTGACTCATAAAAGCTTCTATCATGCATTGTACATCATCATCGTCACTCAATTCCAATGAAGAATATCTGTTCTCATCATGCTGTGAAACAACAAATCTGTAAGTTACAGATAATATAACTTGATTTGACTTAAGATTAAATTTGTTGTGAATCCTTCTCTTTAATATATCCAAAGTTAAACCTCGTTTAATATACATCCCTTTTTTTGGTCCCTCAAATGTTACACCTTCTGGACTTTCATACATCCTTCTAGTGTAAATATAAGCTATAATTTGATCCATAATATCTGCAAAAAAATTCAATTATTAGTACAAAGACATACAATTTAAACTACAAAAAATTTCAATCATAAATAACAATTTAAAACTCAACTTAACAGGAGTAAAGAACCAACCTGACTGATTTAGTGAATAAATAACAAATACAGTAACAAAAAAAATATATGAAGTAGAGATATCGACGTGATTTACCAGAATGGGGGGGTATATATACTGGTAGAGTTTACATCACCTATAGCGACTACATAAATTATTTAATAAAAATTAAAAAAAATTCAAGTCGCTATGGACCATAGCTCCAGTTTTAAATATATATGTATTATTTTTTAAATATAAAAATTGCTTAGAAATTTATAAAAAAATAACGGATAAAAGGAAAAAAAAAAGGATTGAAATAAGAAAAAATGTAAATTTTATAAAATAAGTAATATAAAGTAAAAAATAATTTACAAAACGAAAAAAAAAAAAAATTGGGGCGCTGTGGCTCATAGCTCCACTGGGGCGTTCTGGGCCACAACGCCTCTTAAAAAAATATATGTATTATTTTTTAAATATAAAAATTGTTTAGAAATTTATAAAAAAATAACGGATAAAAGGGAAAAAAAGGATTGAAATAAGAAAAAATGTAAATTTTATAAAATAAGTAATATAATGTAAAAAAAGAATTTACAAAACGAAAAAAAAAAAAAATTGGGGCGCTGTGGCTCATAGCTCCACTGGGGCGTTCTGGGCCACAACGCCTCTTAAAAAAATATATGTATTATTTTTTAAATATAAAAATTGTTTAAAAATTTATAAAAAAAATAACGGATAAAAGGGGAAAAAAAGGATTGAAATAAGAAAAAATGTAAATTTTATAAAATAAGTAATATAATGTACAAAAAGAATTTACAAAACGAAAAAAAATAAAATAAAATTAGGGCGATGTGGCTCAAAGCTCCACTAGGGCATTCTGGGCCACAGCGCCTCTTAAAAAGTTATATGTATTATTTTTTAAATATAAATTTTTTTTAGAAATTTATAAAAAAAAATCACGGATAAAAGGGAAAAAAAGGATTGAAATAAGAAAAAATGTAAATTTTATAAAATAAGTAATATAATGTAAAAAAAGAATTTACAAAACGAAAAATAAAATAATTGGGGCGCTGTGGCTCATAGCTCCATTGGGGCGTTCTGGGCCACAACGCCTCTTAAAAAATATATGTATTATTTTTTAAATATAAAAATTGTTTAAAAATTTATAAAAAAAAATAACGGATAAAAGGAAAAAAAGGATTGAAATAAGAAAAAATGTAAATTTTATAAAATAAGTAATATAATGTAAAAAAAGAATTTACAAAACGAAAAAAAATAAAATAAAATTGGGGCGCTGTGGCTCAAAGCTCCACTAGGGCGTTCTGGGCCACAGCGCCTCTTAAAAAAATATATGTATTATTTTTTAAATATAAAAATTATTTAGAAATTTATAAAAATAATAACGGATAAAAGGGAAAAAAAGGATTGAAATAAGAAAAAATGTAAATTTTATAAAATAAGTAATATAATGTAAAAAAAGAATTTACAAAACGAAAAAATAAAATAAAAATTGGAGCACTGTTTGCTCATAGTTCCACTAGGGCGTTCTGAGTCACAGCGCCTCTTAAAAAAATATATGTATTATTTTTTAAATATAAAAATTGTTTAGAAATTTATAAAAAAATAACTGATAAAAGGAAAAAAAGGATTGAAATATGAAAAAATGTAAATTTTATAAAATAAGTAATATAATGTAAAAAAAGAATTTACAAAACGAAAAAAAAAAAAAATTGGGGCGCTGTGGCTCATAGCTACACTGGGGCGTTCTGAGCCACAGTGCCTTTCAAAAAAATAATTTTATTTATTTTAAAATTACGTTTTTATAAAACTCAATTTTATTTTTATAATTATATAATAAATAGTTTCACTTTATTATATTTATTTTACATTATTATTATTATCCTTTTTTTTTTCTTTAGTCAGTGTCGCTATGAGCTACATAATTTTTTTAAGTCCATCAGCTGTGATGGGTCAGCCTATAACGACACTGATCCAGCCCAACCAAGCCAAAAAAAAAAAGTCACGTGTCATGAGTGTCACTATGGCCCATAGCAACACCCAATAAAAGAGCCCCAAAGGTGTAATATGTTTCAAAACAGCCCCATTTTGGTATTTTGTTTGTAAAACTGCATTATAATGGTCGTTTAGCCTGTGAAACCTAGAGGGATGGATTCATTTTACGGATCTATCTAGGTTGGAAAACTCGTAATTAAGAAATTAAAATAAAAAAATATGGATTAAGGTAAGAAATGGAAGAACAACGCCACAATCCCTAAATATTGATAAGTTGAGGAAGATTCGCCACTTTGAATTAAGAAATTCAAGGATAAGAATCAAAAGTAGTTCCTAAGAACCTAAAGAGAGAAAATCCTCTCAATTTGAAAAATATCCAAATTCTGAATAATTCATTCTCTCTTCCCCAAACTTTTACAAATGGTTCATATTTATAAACTTAGATGGGCAAGATGACATAAATTCCCACTAACACTTAATATTGACTCTTCACTAGCCCACTAACTAAGCAATAAATTCTCACTAGCATTTATTTCCCCTTAGCAACCTAAGACAAGGAAACCCATCATATTTATTTAATAAAATAAAATAAAACGAAAATTACATTAAAAATAAGATAATGGACTTATTTAATTATTCAGCCCCAAACTACTTAAATTTCAGCCCATTAATCCTTCTTCTTTATCATATGACTTTAAACTTGTTAGTTTTCAATTTTACCCTGCTGGATTCACATCAGAGAGTGAACCCTCGGAGTCCAAAATGACAAAACTTCACAAAGTACAACTAATTGACAACAAGGTTCTGTCTGTCTTCTCAAGCTAGATAATATTTTTAAATTTTCCATGATCGCCGGTTAGTCTCCACTTATGATATTCAGAATACATTGCTGCCTGCAGGACCCTTCACCGTGGCTTCACTGTTGCTAGAACAAATATTTAATCATATAAGATAATGTAACTTTACATTTGAAGATAATCCGTACAATATTGAATGAAAACATTAGTAATATTGATAGAGATATTTTTACTGAAATATACTATGTTTAAATACCGATTTGGTCCTCACAGATATATAAACTTTATCTTTTAATTTCTATAATTAAAAATATTTTATTTTAACTCATGCATTATGTTTTTTTTCAAGACAACTAAAAAAACAAAAATAAAATGTATAGATATTAAAATTTTTAACTACTAGTACTAAAAAGCAAAGTTTAACAGATCAAAAGTATATTTAAACCAATATACTATATTTAAATTCAAAAATGAATGGAGACTAATGTGGTAAAACTTAAAAAGATCTATGAAATTCTTCATTGATTTCATACCTGGGAGAACCGTGTTTTAATGACACATGCCATTGTCAAGTTACATTGATTTCTACATTGTAGTGTAGACGTGTTCTCTCTCGTACTTCAGTAAGTTATGGCACGCAATGAAGTAGGAGGGGAGCAACTAAACGGAATCAGAGGCAGTGCCATACCCTTCCAAAGGTTCTAACCGCCACTCACTTCCATCATAATAGGAATTAGGCAAACCCAGCCAAAACTTAAACGCCTCAGCAGCCCTTTTCCTCTCTACTCTTCTGTCTTGTCTAGCCCTCGAAGCATGCTTACTAGTGAACATTCTTGAATGCATCTCCACATAGATTCTAGTAAACTTGGTCTTGTTGGGAGGTATCCCATTCTCCTCCATGCAAGCCACGATCTCCAATGCCTTTCTAAAGAAAGCAGCCCTCACACAGATATCAGCAAGAGTATCCAAAAGCCCTTCATCAGGTTTCAATGGGGGAACAGAGGAATCACATTTCCCCTCTTGCTTTCCCACCTCACACCTCTCCTTCACTTCATTCCATAGCAAAAGAGCCTCTCCGGGTTTCCTTGCTAATGCAATTCCATTGGCTAAACTGCCATAAGTGCCCACATCAGGGTGTAATCCACTCTCCTTCATCTTCTGAATCACTTTCTTTGCCTCTTCCACAAACCCCAACCTACAATATCCTTCCACCAACATGTTCCAAGCGATCAAATCCACCTTCACCCGAGGGTCATTGTCCATCTCACTAAACACCCTGTGAGCCAGCTTGGGCTGACCCGAGTACGCAAAAGCCTTCATCAAAGTAGTGTAACTAATCTTGGTGGGAGCTATTCCTCTTGCCCTCATCTCATTGAAGAAGGAAAGAGCCCCAGCACTGTCATCCACCAATATACACCCATCAATGAGTATATTATAGGACACCACATCAGGCTGAATCCCTGCATCATCAACCATCTCCTTAAGCAATTCCCTAGCCTTATCAATCTGCAGCTGTTGGCAATAGCCCTTGAGGAGAACATTGTAAGTTATCAAATTCGCAGGCACACCAATCCTTGTCATCTCAGCAAGAACCTGACGAGCACGTTCCATAGAACCAATCTTCACAAGAGCCGAAACCACAGTGGTGTAGGAAACATGATCAGGGTGACTAGCCTTATCATCCTGACGCCGCATCGCCTCAAGCATCCTCACTGTATCACTCACACGCCCTGCATTCATATAACCCTTCATTAGAGTGGTGTAAGTCCTAGTGTTTGGAGCATATACTTTTGGCAACAAGGGTGGCTCAGTCTCATTGACACTCTGACCCACCAAATTCGGAAGCAACTTCTCAAAAACACAATCTTCATCATCATTATCATTATCATTATCTTCCTCATCTAAATTACAATCCCTAAGCACCCTACAAATATCCCTCCTCTGTTCCCTCATTGCCTGAACCAATTTCTCAGCGGTTTCCAAATCACCAAACTCAACATAAGCAGAAACAAGGGACTGCAAAGTGGTGACACACAGAGGAATCCCCAACTGAAGAACCCTCTCCAAAACAAACACAAGCAAGTCCTTTCTACCAACTCTAACACACAATTTCATCATAGTGTTATAACTCAACGCATCAGGCTCAACATTGAACTGCGGCATTTCATCGAGCACCTGCAAGAAGGCCGCGGCGTCGCCGAGATTCGCGCAGGCGTTAAGCGCGGCGTTGACGGCGGCGGTGTCGGGTTGCGAGGCGGCAGCCATGCCGGGATCGGGGAGCCTCCGGAGGCGGCGGGTGACGGAGCGGAAGAGCCTGAGAGCCTCGGCGGGGCCGTCACCGTCGGGAGAGGAGGCGAGGCGGGCGACGACAGCGGTCCAGGCCTTGACATGGGGGAGGTAGCCGGAGCGGAGCATGGAGCGGAGGAGGGAGGCGGCGTAGAGGGTGTGGCCGGCCTTGGAGGCGGCGACGGCGAGGAGGCCGAGGCAGTTGGCGTCGAGGCGGTGGAGCTGGCGCTCATTGCGGAGGCGCGTGACGATGGACTGGGCGCGCGTGAGGGAGGAGAGGGTGTTCTGGTATGAGAGCTGGGAGACCAAGCGGCTGAGGCAGGTGGGGTTGGGGAGGTGCGTGGAGTTGGTGTAGGTGTTCCAGGCTTCTTCGGTTTTCCGGTCGCGTAGGAGAGAGAGAAGCTTGTGGTCAGCGGAGGTGGTGGCACGTTGGAAGGGAGAGAGTGGGGTTTGTAAGAGAGTGGCGTTCATGGCTGCTCCTCCTCCATCTCACCCTCTGGAATCTGGATAAGGTTACACACTTTCTATTAACACCCTACTTTCGTCTTCCCTTCACAGACGTGGAGACATAACAAACATATATCATATACATTTCGATTCCCCGGCCCCGCCACGCTATCCTATATATACTAAATATTTTAAGAATAAAATTATCTTTTAAAGGAGATATCTCATTTTCTCATTTATTTAAAATTATCTTTAGTTTATGAACTTCCCACTTCCATATGTGCATTGAACGAGAATCCTACTTTCATTCACACTCTGGTTTCAAATAGATTTTGTTCCTGTGTTAGGATACACACTCTAATTATTCTTGTTGTAGCGGGTCTGATCCTGGGTCTCGGTCTTCTCGTTCATATCCGGGTAGTCCGAAGTCGGGGGTGGGTGTGCTTGCAAAGACACTCTGACGCTCAAGTTAGTGCTCGGCGTATTAAATGCGGTAGTTCAGAATTAATCACATACCTCGTTGGGATCCTATTTATAGTAGTTCTTATTGGGCCGCAATTAGGGACTGGGCCCCGGAAAATTAGGGGTCTAATCCTATGCATTATGTTAATTAATCTCTCTGTAACCATCTTGATGATGCCGACATACTCGGCCGACTCCGCCAACACGTTTCGCCCCATCTTGGGGTGATCGGCGGGTTCGGGTACTCGGCATAAGCAACGGTCTCGGGTATTCGGGCAAGTCGGCCACCATACGGTATACAACCCCCGCAGCGTCAAGGATGAGAAAAGACGAAGACGGTACAAAAAAGATGTTGACGTGGTATTCGGTATTGAAGAATAAGGGTCGGTATAGATGTGTTTTGATGCCTCGTCTTGATGATGCTTGGGTCAGCCTTAACCATGAGCTCAAGCCGAGGCCTTTTGTAGGCGATGTCTAGGCCGAGACCGTAGCCATGTGAGGTCAAGCCGAGGCCTTTTGCAGGCGGTCTAGGCCGAGACCTTAGTCATGTGAGGTCAAGCCGAGGCCTTTTGCAGGTGGTCTAGGCCGAGACCTTAGCCATGTGAGGTCAAGCCGAGGCCTTTTGCAGGCGGTCTGGGCCGAGACCTTAGTCATGTGAGGTCAAGCCGAGACCTTAGCCATGTGAGATCAAGCCGAGGCCTTTTGCAGGCGGTCTAGCCCGAGATCTTAACCATGTGAGGTCAAGCTGAGGGCTTTGGACGTGAGATCCTGCACTAGGGCTTCGAATACTGGTGACTTAGACCGAGGCCTCGGCAGGTGTGGCTTGTCACGTTGGCCCTAGTGGTTACAGGCCCAACGGTTACTAAATCTGGGCCGTTGGATGATGTAGATCGAACGGTTGTGGCCCGGGGGCGTCTTTTCACCTCCCCCATTTACCTTGCCTACAAATAGGGGTGTTGGACGTGAAAATTTACGCGCTGTAAATTTTTCGAGCTCTCCCGAGATTATATTCTTCCGAACAACCCGAGCAAGGTAAAATTTTGTATTCTTTAATTTTAGCAATAAATGGATAAAGGCTACGTTTCGGCGAGGAGTTGGACGTCTTCGGAAGCATCGGGCGCTTCATCAGATAAAGAGGGATCGGCTTCAAGTGAAATATCAAGGCTGCCCCCCCTGCCGTGCGTAGCTTTCTTCCCTTCCGATCACCCCGAACAAGAGGACAGCGGGGATGAGGTGGTCGAGGTATCGCCTCCGACGACATTGGCTGTGGCCTTGGCGCGGGAAACTGAGGTGGATGACCGAGGTCTAGGTCGAGTCAGTCAGCCGGACCCGCAACCGTTGCAAGTTGATATAAGCGGGGACGAACTGGAGGTGGTCGGCGATGCACGAGGCAAGAGAGCTGTCGGACCGAGTACTCGGGTAAGGGCACGGATCGACTATGGAACTGTGGAGATGCCTGGCTACGAGTGGGTCGACGGGGAGGTCGGCATTTATCTTTCGAAGTTGTCTGACCAAGGGTTGTTAGACACATTTGTCTCTTTGGAGAACTGTTTCGGGAGTGGGGAGGATCAGTTTCCCCTACTTGCCGAGGCATGCATGGATGACGGGCCGGAGACTGACTTCGTGTTTTTGGAGTCGGGGGAAGATGAGGACGATTACTTCTACGCCTACATGTGCTGGTTCGTAGACCTCGGTGTTCAACTACCCTTCGACGATTTTCAAATGGGGGTCCTCCGAGTGCTCAACGTGGCGCCGACTCAGTTGCACCCGAATGCCTGGGTCGCGATGCAGGCATTTCGGAATCTATGCCTGTGTTTGGGTCTGACTCCCCGACCCTTGGCTTTCCTTTATTACTATACCAGTCGTCCGAGCAAACCGGTGAAGTGGGTGTCATTGTCTCGGGTACCGAAGCGAGGATTTCTCCAAGCCTTCACCTCTTCCTACAAAGGGTTTAAGAATGGGTTCTTCAAGGCTCGCTGGGGGTCAGAGATGAAGAATTGCTTCTATGACCGAGAAGGCGACCCGCTATTTCCCTTCCGGCTATCGTGTTGATCACCTTTCGTGGTTGGTCATTGTCACCATACCGTGGGGTCGAAGAGACGCTTCATGTAACGACCCGGCTGGTCACTACACACCACACCGTACACCTGAAACCGGACAGAAAAGAACAAGTGTATACATATAGTGTCTAGAATATACATATATACATGTCCAAGTCTGACTAGATTCAAAATGTACCAAAAATACATCCAGAGCTACTACACCAAGTAGCAAAAACACCAAAACATCCATAAGAAGTAAGCTCTATCTGCCAGCTAGGGCTAGTGGGCAGGTTCCCCCGGCACGGTCGACTCTGAAGATGGCTCGGGATAAGCCGTCCCATGTGTTGATTCCCGCCGCCGACCCCAAGAAGAAAGGAAGCACCTCCCGAGTGAGGGCGGCAGAGCAAAATATAGAGCCGGAGCGGCCGAGTTCTTCGACCAAGCGGGCCAAGCAGCTGTCTTTGGAGCAATCGGGTTGCGGCAACTTCGTTATTCCCAGCTGTTGTCGCCGGCTCCAATTTCCTTGCCCCGAACGTGCAGACCGAAAATTTGGTCGGTTTGGATCTTGCTACTGGGGCTGGTCTGCAATACTTGGAGGGCATGTCTGCCGAGGCCGCATATAAGTTGTTTTGCGAACTCGATACTCGCACCTCCCTTGTTGCAAAACATGTCATGAACAGGCATGCCGTGTCCAAGGATCCATGGCCGACTCAAGGAGGCCGAGGCCACAGTGAAAGAGGCGTTGGCTGCGAACGCCAAGTTAACTGAATCGGCTGAAGAATTGAAGAGGCTTGCCGACGCCCACCGAAGGGAGGCCGACGACTTGAAGTTGGTCGTACAAAGAATGAAGGTCGATGTTGTCGCGTCAACGAACGAGATTGCTCGGTTGAAAGAAGCGGCCACAAAGTTTGAAGCCGAAGCTACCAAGCAGAAACTTGATCAACATGATGTCAGCTTCCGGCATGCGGTCAGGCAGGCTTATCATTTTTGTGAGGTTCCGGCTGACTTTCAGTTCGATGTTAGCCGAGACTTTTTAGGCGGCAAGTTTATGAGCTATTCTGAGTTCCCCCAAGGGGCTCAGCCCGATGCCGAGGCCCCTCTTCACTATATTTCCACCCAAGCTCCTGTGCAACCAGCCGAGGATGAAGATCCGATCATTGACGTGGTTGGCGAGGGTGGGAGGTAATCCTGGAAGCTCGGCAGCTACTTAAGGGATCGGCCCGTTGATGGTTTTGGGTTAACTATTTTTTGTAACCGGGCCGTAAGGGCCTTTTGTCATTTTTGTCCATTGGTGCCGGTAGACTTTAAATTTTTTGTAAGTAGCCGTTTTGGTCGGCCATACTTTTTTATAAATGATACTACTAATTTTTCGCATGTTTATAGCGCTTAGTAATGTAGACACGATCCGACCTGTATGGATGACCGAGTGGACGCATTTCACGATTTATGTTGATGATTGGTGCGTGTTTCGTTTGTTTAACCAAGTGTACGGTTTTGGTGAGTGTTCGGTTGAAATTACGTGTTTTGAGCAATTAGTCGAGATTTGCTCGAGGGTTGGTGATCCCATGTTTGACTCGTCCTAGTGGGTTCGGCGGAACGAGGGTTCCCCGATTTCCACTGGGATCATGGCGTCAGTCCCGTAGACTAGGCGAAAAGGAGTTTCTTGTGTAGTCGACTGGGGCATGCATCGGTATGCCCATAGTACCTCGAGTAACTGCTCGGCCCAAGCCCCCTTTGCTTCTCCGAGGCGTTTCTTCAACTCAGCTAAGATGACTTTATTGGCCGACTCGGCCTGACCATTCGTCTGTGGGTGTTCGACCGATGTGACCTTGTGTTGTACTCCCAGGCCGTTTAGGAACTCGTTGAGTTTCCGGTCGGTGAATTGAAGGCCGTTGTCGGTCACCAAGGTGTGTGGGACACCAAATTGGGTGATGATATTCCTCCATAGAAATTTCTGGACTTGATGAGCCGAGATACATGCCAGGGGCTCGGCTTCGATCCATTTGGTGAATAGATCCACGGCGACGATGAGGAACTTGCACTGTCCCTTAGCAACTGGGAAGGGTCCGAGTATGTCGGCCCCCCAAGTGGCGAATGGCCATGCCGGAGGGATGCAATGTAGCTGCTCGACCGGTTGATGAATCAAGTTGCCATGTTTCTGACATGGTTGGCATCTTTTTACGAACGTTACGCAGTCGGTGACCATGGTCGGCCAATAGTACCCGGCTCGTAAGAGTTTGGAGATGGTCGTTCTCGCTCCCGAATGCATTCTGCATATACCCTCGTGTAATTCTCTCGTCACGTAGTCAGCCTCGGCAGAGTTTAGGCATTTGAGTAACGGGGTAGAAAAACTGCGTTTGTACAACTGGCCGGCGATAACAACGTATCTACTGGCTTGGGTTCTTAGCTGTTTGGCCTCGATCGGATCGGTCGGTGCGGTTCCATTTATGAGAAACGCTCTGATTTTGGCTCGCCAATCTTGGGAGTCGTCCGGCTCGGCACGGCCGGCATTGACATTTGCGACCATTTCTCCATCGACACTAGGGTGGTCGATCTCTTGCTGAATTATCGTTCTCAGATGGCCTGGCTTTTTAGTCGCGGCCAACCTAGCCAGCTGATCAGCTCGAGTGTTGTCTTCGCGTGGGATGTGCTCGACCGACACCTCCTTAAAGTTCGTCTTCAACTTTTGATAGGCATGATAGTACTTCATCATGTTGTAGTCTTTCACTTGGAAATTGTCGCCGACCTGCTCGGCCACAACTTTGGAGTCGGTCAAACATTTTACTCTCGAGGCTCCCATGTCTTCGGCTAGTCTCAGTCGGCCAGTAATGCTTCATACTCGGCTTGATTGTTGGAAGCCTTGAACTGAAAGCGGAGGGATTGTTCCAAAACTATCCCCTTGGGTCCTTCCAGAATTACACCCGCTCCGCTTCCTCGGCAATTTGACGAACCATCCACATGGAGGGTCCACCATTGCTCCTCGAAATAACCGTGGGGGTGGAGCTCGTTCACAAAATCGACCAGGCACTGAGCTTTGATCGGTCCTCTCGGTTTGAAGGTTATGTCGAATTGCGAGAGCTCCACCGACCAAGCCATCATTCTCCTGGCGAGCTCGGGCTTGCCCAGGACCTTCGAGATCGGGCAGTCGGTGTGTACCACTACCCGGTGGCTTTGGAAATAGTGCCGCAAGCATCGTGATGTGTGCACAAATCCGAGCGCAACCTTTTCTATCAGCTGGTATCGGGTCTCAGGATCTTGTAGAAGTCGGCTGACAAAATATATGGGAGTTTGGGTGCCTTCCTTTTCTTGCACTAGGACCGAGCTGATCGCCTCGACAGATACGGCCAAATACACTAAGAGTGGGCTCGAGGGATCAGGTCTTGTTAGGATCGGCAGCGTAGCCAAGGTTGCTTTCAGCGCCTCGAAGGCCTCTTCGCATGGTTCGTTCCACGAGAAGGCCGAGGCCTTCCGCAAGAGTTTCGTCATTGGGATAATCTTGTCACCTAGGCGCGGGACGAATCGGGATAAGGCGACTAATCTTCCCGAAAGACGTTGCAATTCCTTGAGATTGCTCGGGCTTCGCATGTCTATCACGGCCTGGCATTTGTCTCGGTTTGCTTCTATGCCTCTTACTGATAGCATGAAACCTAGGAATTTGCCTCCTTTTACCCCTAAGGTGCACTTCTCGGGGTTGAGCCTCATGTTGTGCTTGCGAAGTGCGCCGAAGATTTCGGCTAGGTCTGATATGTGCTCGGCGATAGAATTGGACTTGACCACCATATCGTCTACATAAATCTCGATGTTTCGGCCGATTTGCTTCTGGAACACTTTATCCATTAACCTCTGATAGGTCGCCCCGGCGTTCTTCAGTCCAAATGGCATGACTCGGTAACAAAAGTTGGCGTTCTCGGTGATGAACGCCGTCTTCTCCTCGTCGGACGGGTGCATCCTTATTTGATTGTAGCCGGAATAGGCGTCAAGAAAGCTGAATATAGAATGTCCGGACGCTCCGTCGACAAGTCGGTCGATGCAAGGGAGTGGATAGGCGTCCTTGGGGCAGGCTTTGTTGAGGT